AAAAAAAAAAAAAAAAAAAAAAAAAAAAAAAAAAAAAAAAAAAAACTTTTTAGGCAATTTAGGCACATCATAATTTTCAACCTATTGATGAGAATACATACTTAGGCACAATCTATTGATTGAGAATTATAATGTGCCTATGTAGCAATTAATTGAGAATTATGATGTGCCCACATATCAATTGAGATAAGTGTCCAACTCACTCACATTCTAGATAGTCTCATGTTAGAATGAAGGGATTTTCTCTTTCCCTGGGCTACTTGTGATATTCCTGAGAACTATTTTATTTTTATTTTAGTGGGACTGTAGATTATGTACTTATGTAATTTTCTTCTTTGTGTTGGCTGCTGGAAAACTTGGGGCCAAATTTTGGCCCATGTCTAACAACTGTCTTGATTCTTACAGATCATGTTGTAATAATCTCATTCCTGGCTTACTAATATTTTACTACATGCATTTTTATTTTTTCCTGTTCTCCCTATCTTTCTGTTTTTAGCTGCATTTTTTTCATGTCCATTGAATGTATATTGTACATTTAAAAAAATTTTTTTTTCATTTGGAACAGGAAGGTTATAAACAAATAATATTATTTTAACAAACTACCTTTTATGCATTTTGTTTAATGAGCCCACTCTTGAAGAAGTTTTGAAACATAAGGGAATGATCATTGCATTGTTGGGGCCATGACATTTTTAAATGGCTTAGTCCCACTTTCACCTCTAATTAGCAGATGCATTTAGGCAATATTTTGAAATTCTCTGGGCTTCCATTTCCCGTCTGTGAAGTGAGTCAGTTAGAAACAGGCAGCCTCGGTTAAAGATTATACACCAGGTGGTTTTGGCAGGAGACGTAATGCAACTTCTGCCAGCTGAAGAAAAAGAGTAGAATGAGATGGGGCTAGCTTCAGTAAGACATAAGGAAGAAATAGCGTGGGGCTAAGATATGTGGGCAACTAGAGTTAGCTAACAATTTGGTTTCCATTTAAATGGATACTAACTTATAGATTTATTTCTTCTCTTTGTTTGGTGGAAGAAGGAAAAATTTTATTTGATTAGAATTGTTTTTAAAAACAGACTCATTCCCAATATCTAAAGCGAAATGAGTAGATAGAAAAAATTCAAAAATGGCATCTATATTATTCTGTTTTAAATATTTTTTTCTAAAACTAGTGTAAAAAAGGTAGAAAAACTACATGTTGAAACAATTTGTTCCTACTAAATGGAAATATTTTTGCACAATTTTGTTTCAGAATTTTAACCAACTGCAATGCACATGCTTATGACAAGAATGCACTACTGCAGAAGGTCAGAGCTAATGAGGAGTTTTCCCTCCATCCTCCCAGCCTTGAGAGTGCTTTTGTGTTGGCAAAAGAAAGCTCCATTATATTTCACCACTGAAACAAGAAGGTATGCGTTTGTTTATATGCAGGTCATCACCCAATACTTCTCTAACTTCTGTTCTAGGCAAATGAGAACACAGGTGAGATATATAGGCTATGACTGTTCACACCAAACAAATGCTGGATGTTATCACTGTGTTCTATTGGAACACATGCTTCAGGATTGTATGAATAGACAAAAGAGCTCAAGGAATTGAGACATCACAGAGCTCTGTCATTGTAGACCAGCAAGACTCAGAAAACCTGCGTTGCAACAGTTGTAAACAGTCACCCTGTGGCCAATACCTCAGTTTCAACAGAATACTAAATTAGATTTGTACATTTAAATATATTGCACATACGATTTTATTTGCATGCTTTTATAAATTTGCTTTGGAATTAAAATTCTATAAAAGGTACAAACAAATAGATGCAGGAGCCAGAAATACCCTTGGGAAAGTTAATGTCATTATGCATAAGCAAGAAAGTCACTGGGCCTGGCTACCAGGAAGTGAGACACAGAATGGGCAAATTTAGAATGGGAAAGGAGACACATGTGAGACTCCTGAGTGGAAATGCGGTGCGGATATGGATGCAGAGGTGGGGAACAGTGGGTGGAGCAAATGACAGAGTGCTCCTGTGGGAGAGAGGGACAGTCCAGAAGATGCGGGCAGATGGGAGGCCCTGAACTCCACCAACCCGATTTCTCAGGCTTTGCCAAAAGTCACAGCAGGGGCAAGTCAGCATGCTCATTGGAGGTCAGTCCGGGCGCCTGTGCAGGGCGCAGCGAGGGAAGCGTCCATCTCTGCTGCATTCACACCTGAGTGACTGTAGCGCCTCTGCAGGCGATTCAGTTCCACCCCGAATGTCTGCTGCCAGCCCCCCAGCAGCTGAGCGCAGCTTCCCAGTGATCAGGTGCGAGGTTCTCCGCCATCCCCATCTGTGCCTGGCTGATGCCTTACCATCTGGGTTCCACTGTGTCTCCCTCTCAGAGGAGCTTTTCCTTCACTTTCCTTCTCTGCTATTCCCCATCTCATAACCCTGCTTAATTTTTTTCAGAGCCCAAATTGCGATCTAAAATCATCTTACTTCCTCATTTGTTCAATTTTTTTTTTTGTAATTTTCCTCTTATCCTGCACGTTAACTTCACGAAAAAGTGGATCTTTTCTGTCCTGCGCATTATTTTAACGCTAAGAATCTACATCTGTTACAAACAATTACTGTCTGTAACATAGTCATTACATTCAGTATGCTAAGTGAATGAATGTTTTTGGTGCAAATCTAAATAGCCTTTTATTACAGGTAATTTAAATAAACACTTAATATTATATTTTAGAACACAATTTTAAAGGATTTTCTGTTACCAGATAGATGATGAACTTTTAACTTCTTAAACTGATGTCGTATTAAAAATACCTAGGAAAAAATAAAACAAATAATATGTAGAAAACTCTCATCACCTCCTTGTTGTTCTATGAGTCTTTAGTTTTCATACTGATTTTATCTTATGAACTTCAGAGGCATTTCTTCCAATTTGACTGTTTAAACAAGCTCCAGCCATAAAGCAAATTTGGAACTAGTGAGACTCATTCTTTACAAATGCCTTACTTCCTGTAGACACTAGTGAATTTGGCATATGGGTCAGATTCTGAATATTGCAGTTTTGTCTGTGTAACAAGATACAATTTTTAATCAAAGTCAAATTAACAAATAATTACCATAAAAATGTAATTTTCTTATTATCCAAGGGATAATTAAAGGTATTTCTAGATTTACAGCAGTGTGAAACATAGGGCCTTATCTCTGATAAAGAAGAGAATCAGTAAAGGTATGTTATTAAAGTCTAACTGTTGGGAATTACAAGGCAGCCTGTGTATGAGAAAGAGTAAAGACTTCACAGTGAAAGAGCTCTTGGTTTGTACTCTGGCTCTGTCAATTTCCAGCATAGACAGCCTTGGCAAAACTATTTCTCAGAAAGCCAAACGCATGACCATGTAGAATACCCTAGCACAGTGTCTGACATGTAGTAGGCATTTTTAAAACATATTTTTTTTTCCTTCTTTTTAAATTTTTTTTTCATTTAGGCAAGTAATTTCACAAATGCTGGTCAACTATTTGGGAGTGGTCAGTTTAATTTTGGATTCATGAGAATTCTAAATGTGCCCGAGAGAAGTAACCGCACCTGAACAACTTTTATTGAGGGTGCTCAGCAAAAGTTCTTGATTTACTGACATGCCTGTGTGCAAAGCTTTGGGTATAAATATAGTTCAAGTCATGGCATTTGATGGTTCATAACTTTGAAACAAAATTCATTGACCTTCATTGGCTACCCACATTTATTCCTTCCCATATTTCTAAGTACTATTAATGTACTACTTCTCTGCTAGATACCTAAGCATTTGGATTCATCTTTGACTCTGGTTGAAAAAGGGTCATGAAAAAATGAGATTTAATTTTGTTGAGGAGTGTTTATTGTGTTTTTATTTACCTTATCTATACTGGGTGCAGAAGATTTAAAGAGAAGAAACACTCAGTATTTACCTATAAGAAATTATAGCCTAGTAAGCGAATCAGGCACAAAAACCAAATGAGGACAGTTAAATGTGATAAGTGCTAAGAATTTAAATATGGACAAAGTCTTGTTGAACTACTGAGGGGAAGAAATTGCTCTTCTTGAGGATATCAGGGAAAGGATCCCAGAGAAAGTGCTTTTTGAAATGTATTTTAAAGAATGAATGAGAGTTGAGGAGGTGGAGGGGTGGAGAGGTCACGCTAAGCACCTAAAGTTTAAAGAAGATTCCAGGACTTAGTTCCTATGCTCTAGATTTATCACTAGGTGTATGTGGGGAAGTCATGGGAGATGAGATCTGAAAATTATACAATCTGCTGTAAGGGTGTGAAATCTTGAGTTTTCTGCTAATAAGTTTGGGTAGTATGCAGATTTTGTTGAACACCGAAATAACTGTATCATGCTAGCATCAGAATTTGCTTCCCCCTTCCCTTTGAAAGAACAGATCGTTCTGTTTGAGTATTTTTTATTTTTTTCTGACTGTGAACTACCTTTAACAATGTTTTCCTTATTTAGTATTTACTTTAGTGGTAGTGATATGAATTCTATAAAATTATTGCTATTTAACCATTCTGACCTACAAAAGCATCAGTTTCATATGGTTCAGACTGTATATCATGGCAATAATACCTAAACTTTTTTTTTTTTTTTTTTTTGAGACAGAGTTTCTCTCTTGTCACCCACGCTGGAGTGCAATGGCGCGATCTCGGCTCACCGCAACCTCCGCCTCCTGGGTTCAGGCAATTCTCCTGCCTCAGCCTCCTGAGTAGATGGGATTACAGGCACGCACCACCATGCCCAGCAATTTTTTGTAGTTTTAGTAGAGACGGGGTTTCACCATGTTGACAAGGATGGTCTCGATCTCTTGACCTTGTGATCCACCCGCCTCGGCCCCCCAAAGTGCTGGGATTACAGGCGTGAGCCACTGCGCCCGGCCCAATACCTAAACTTTTAAAATCATTTTAATGTTTTTATGTAGTTGATAATAAAATGTACTTAGTGTTTTTTTTGTTTGTTTGTTTTTATTCAGTTTATTCTGGATAAAAGTTTTTCATCAGACATGAAATATTCAAATATTTTCTTTCAGTCAGTGCCTTATCTTTTTTCTCCCCCATTTATTTTATTGCATTTTAGGTTTTGGGGTACATGTGAAGAACATGGAAGATTGTGGCATAGGTACACACGTGGCAGTGTGATTTGCTGCCTTCCTCCCCATCACCTGTATCTGGCATCTCTCCCCTTGCTATCTCTGCCTCTCCCCAGTTCCCCACCCCCCACAGTCCCTCCCCTATTTCCCCCCCAACTGACCCCAGTGTGTAGTGCTCCCCTCCCTGTGTCCATGTTCTCATTGTTCAACACCCGCCTATGAGTGAGAACGTGGTGTTTGATCTTCTGCTCTTCTGTCAGTATGCTGAGAATGATGGTTTCCATGTTCATCCAAGTCCCGACAAAGGACACAAACTCATCGTTTTTGATGGCTGCATAATATTCCACTGTGTATATGTGCCACATTTTCCCTGTCCAGTCTATCATCCATGGATGGGCATTTGGGTTGGTTCCAGGTCTTTGCTATTGTAAACAGTGCTGCAATGAACATTCATGTGCACGTGTCCTTATAGTAGAACGATTTATAATCCTTTGGATATATACCCAGTAATGGGATTGCTGGGTCAAATGAAATTTCTATTTCTAGGTCCTTGAGGAATCGCCACACTGTCTTCCACAATGGTTGAACTAATTTATACTCCCACCAACAGTGCAAAAGTGTTCCTATTTCTCCACATCTTCTCCAGCATCTGTTGTCTCCAGGTTTTTTAATGATCGCCATTCTAACTGGCGTGAGATGGTATCTCAATGTAGTTTTGATTTGCATTTCTCTAATGACCAGTGATGATGAGCATTTTTTCATATGTTTGTTGGCCTCATGCATGTTTTCTTTTGTAAAGTATCTGTTCATATCCTTTGCCCACTTTTGAATGGGCTTATTTGTTTTTTTCTTGTAAATCTGTTTTAGTTCTTTGTAAATTCTGGATATCAGCCCTTTGTCAAATGGATAAACTGCAAAAATTTTTTCCCATTCTGTTGGTTGCCAATTCACTCTAATGACTGTTTCTTTTGCTGTGCAGAAGCTGTGGAGTTTGGTTAGGTCCCATTTGTCTATTTTGGCTTTTGTTGTCAATGCTTTTGGTGTTTTGTTCATGAAGTTCTTGCCTACACCTATGTCCTGAATGGTTTTGCCTAGATTTTCTTCTAGGGTTTTTATGGTGTTAGGTCTTATGTTTAAGTCTTTAATCCATCTGGAGTTAATTTTAGTATAAGGTGTCAGGAATGGGCCCAGTTTCTGCTTTCTGCACATGGCTAGCCAGTTTTCCCAACACCATTTATTAAACAGGGAATCCTTTCCCCATTGCTTGTTTTTATGTGGTTTGCCAAAGATCACATGGTTGTAGATATGTTGTGTTGCCTCCGAGACCTCTGTTCTGTTCTGTTGGTCTATATCTCTGTTTTGGTCCCAGTACCATGCTGTTTTGATTACTGTAGCCTTGTAGTATAGTTTGAAGTCCGGTAGTGTGATGCCTCCTGCTTTGTTCTTTTTGCTTAGAATTCACTTGGCTATGTGGCCTCTCTTTTGGTTCCATATGAAGTTTAAGGTGTTTTTTTCCAGTTCTGTGAAGAAGGTCATTGGTAGCTTGATGGGGATAGCATTGAATCTGTAAATTACTTTGGGCAGTATGGCCATTTTCACGATATTGATTCTTCCTAACCATGAGCATGGAATGTTTCTCCATCTGTTTGTGTCCTCTCTCATTTCGTTGAGCAGTGGCTTGTAGTTCTCCTTGAAGAGGTCCTTTACATTCCTTGCTAGTTGTATTCCTAGGTATTTTATTCTCTTTGTGGCAATTGTGAATGGAAGTTTGTTCTTGATTTGGCTCTCTTTAAGTCTGTTATTGGTGTATAGGAATGCTTGTGATTTTTGCACATTGATTTTGTATCCTGAGACTTTGCTGAAGTTGCTTATCAGTTTCAGGAGATTTGGGGCTGCGATGATGGGGTATTCTATATATACAATCATGACGTCTGCAAATAGAGACAATTTGACTTCCTCCTTTCCTATTTGAATACCCTTTCTTTCATTTTCTTGCCTGATTGCTCTGGCTAGAACTTCTAGTACTATATTGAATAGGAGTGGTGAGAGAGGGCATCCTTGTCTAGTGACAGATTTCAAGGGGAATGCTTCCAGTTTTTGCCCATTCAGTATGATATAGGCAGTTGGTTTGTCGTAAATAGCTTTTATTATTTTGAGAAATGTTCCGTCAGTACCTAGCTTATTGAGGGTTTTTGGCATAAAGGGCTGTTGAATTTTGTCAAAGGCCTTCTCTGCATCCATTGAGATAATCATGTGGTTTTTGTCTTTGGTTCTGTTTATGTGGTGAATTACGTTTATAGACTTGCGTATGTTGAACCAGCCTTGCATCCCCGGGATGAAGCCTACTTGATCATGGTGGATAAGCGTTTTGATGTGCTGTTGCAATTGGCTTGTTAGCATTTTATTGAAGTTGTTTGCATCTATGTTCATCATGGATATTGTCCTGAAGTTTTCTTTTCTTGTTGAGTCTCTGCCAGGTTTTGGTATCAGGATGATGTTGGTCTCATAACATGATTTGGGAAGGATTCCCTCTTTTTGTATTGTTTGGAATAGTTTCAGAAGGAATGGTACCAGCTCCTCTTTGTATGTCTGGTAGAATTCGGCTGTGAACCCGTCTGGACCTGGGCTTTTTTTGGGTGGTAAGCTCTTAATTGCTGCCTCAACTTCAGACCTTGTTATGGGTCTGTTTAGGGTTTCAGCTTCTTCCTGGTTTAGGCTTGGGAGGAGGCAAGTGTCCAGGAATTTATCCATTTCTTCCAGGTTTACTAGTTTATGTGCATAGAGTTGTTTGTAATAATCTCTGATGATGGTTTGAATTTCTGTGGAATCTGTGGTGATATCCCCTTTATCATTCTATTTTGTTGATCTTTTCAAAAAACCAGCTCCTGGATTTATTGATTTTTTGAAGGTTTTTTTGTGTCTCTATCTCCTTCAGTTCTGCTCTGATCTTAACTATTT